TAGTCTGAAAAGTTTTGAGCCTAACATAGTATTTTTTCGGTCAAATATAGTTTTATTTTTCAATATAATCTCCTTTTAAGTCGATACACTTTCCCCATCGATACTCTAACCTCTTTAATCCCTTCAAATAGTTGGCGTCTTGCTCCGCAAAATAGACGTTTACATATGCGATGACCTCCTCGTTTGATGAAAATCTCTGTCCTCCAAATGAAACTTTAAGCTTAGGAAACAGGAAAAAGTCGCCAGATCTGATGAATACGGTGAGTGGTCAACCAATTCGAAATGCAGTTCGTGAATTTTGGCCATGGCGACCGCCGAAGTGTGAGCAGATGCATTGTCTTGATGGAACAGCATTTTCTTCTTCTTCAAATGCGGTCGTTTTTTTTGCAATTTCTGCCTTCAGCTTATCAAGTAATGATACGCTCCTGTTATTGTTTTACCTTTTTCAAGATAGTTGATACACACAATTCCGTGATTATCCCAAAAAACAGTCGCCATTACCTTTCTAGGATGATGGAACCGTCTTCACCTTTTTCGGAGCAGGTTCACCCTTTGCAGTCCACTCTTTTGACTGTTCTTTTGTCTCTGGAGTGTAGTGGTGGATCCAAGTTTCATCTACAGTTATGAATCGACGCAAAAAATCTGACTTGTTTCGCTTGAACCGCTCCAACAGGGCCTTGGAAATGTTCATTCGAATTCGTTTTTGGTCTAAAGTGAGCAAGCGCGGATAGCTTGCGCATATCCAATTCTTCAGTCAATATATGACAAACGCGTTCTTTCGATTGCCCATAGCCTCTGCTATCTCTCTAACCTTGATTCGACGGTCATCCAGTACCATTTGGTGAACATTTTCGATGTTATCAGCGGTGGTCGCAGTTTTTGGCCGTCCCGAACGCTCATCATCATCCAAGCTGGTACGACCACGTTTAAATTCAGCTGCCCATCTTTTTACAGTGGCAAATGATGGGGCAGAGTCCCCGTAAACAGCGTTCAACTCGATTTTAATTTGCGCGGGCGTATTGCCTTTCAAATGTAAGAATTTAATCACGACACGATATTCAATTTTTTCCATTTTTACAAAAACTGACATCGACTGACACAAACGATTGTCAAACAACAACTGAGCGTCCAAAATGGCTGAAATTTTCATAAAAGTTTTTCAAAGCATATACTATTGTACTACTAGAAATAAAGTACTACTAGAATGGTTTTGACGAGTAACGTCATCTTCATGTTAAGACTCAAAACTTTTCAGATTATCCTCGTATATGTATATATATTAGATGTACAAAAAAGTTCTGAGCTTTTTTTGTAAAATTCAATCTTTATTCAAAATAACACAAAAATATTGATCAACGAAATAGTCCCCGTTTGCATCAACGATCTTTTGCCATCTTTCGGGTAGCTTGCGAATTCCTTGACGATAGAAGCTCACCGGCTTCGAAGCGATAAAGTCATCAATGCATTTTCGTATCTCTTTAAATCTCACGAAATGTGTATCAGCCAAATGATGCTGCAGGAATAGATAATAATCAGAAGGCGCCACTGGCGCCTGGGCTATACGCCGCGTGCGGGAGAAGTTCCCAATCTAATGCAAAGATATGGTCCTGAATCGCTTTCGCAACATGTGGTCGAGCATTGTCATGAAGCAAGATCACTTTACGACGTCCTTGGTCAGTAAATGGCCTCTTTTCTTCTAATGCATCGCTCAAATTGGTTAATTGTTGTTGGTAGCGGTCTGTCGTGATTGTTTCACCCGGTTATAACAACTCGTAATACAACACTTTCCAATCTCATCAGATAAAGAGCAAAAAATCTTCTTGGCGTGGATATTGGGTTTTGGCGTCGATGTCGAAGGTTGACTAGGGTCAACTCATGATTTTCTACGTTTAGGGTTATCATAAAGAATCCACTTTTCATCGCCTGTAATGATTTTGTGTAGAAAATCTTTTTTCCGGAACTTTGAAAGCAAAGTGAGTGCAGTGTCACGCCGACGATTTTTGTTGTCTTCAGACAATTCATGAATCCATCTGCCTTCCTTCTGAACCTTTCCCATCGTATGTAAACGTACGGAAATGGTTTGCTGCGTAACGCCAAGCTGTTCTGCAAGCTCCTTTTCAGTTTGCGCAGAGTTTATATCCAATAGTGCTTGCAATTCGTCCGTTTCAATCTTTTGAAGGCGTCCAGCACGCGGTTCATCTTCAAGACTGAAATCTCCTTGGCAAAATTTTTGACATCTTTTACATGTAGTATGACTTACAGCATTCTCTCCACGCAGCACAAATCATTGTAGTGGCTTCAGCAGCATTTTTCTTCAGATGAAACGCGAAGTGGAAAATCGAATATGCTCTTTTATTATTGCCATCGTGAACAGTATTGATTTTTGAGGTTATGTGCATCAAACGCCGAACTGTATGGCATTTTAGAAGGCCAAATGTCAACGCTTTAAAACCGCAAAAGGGCGGGAAGATATATAAAATTTAAATTGTTATTTCGGTTGTATGAAATCTAAAGCTCAAAACTTTTTGTACACCTAATATATGTATATATATATATATTGCGACCGCTGCCTTGAATTCGTCGATCGCCGATCTCACCGCGCGGTCCAAATCTGCCGCGCGTCCGCACCTCTCGGCTGTCGCAAATTATCGGCACACGATAGCGATT